TGTGTCGTGTTCGAGTCAGTTGCATGCATGTGTTGAAGTCAGGTCGTCCGATCTGTCTCGGTTTGGTGTTTTTGTGCAAGGGAGTTCGAAAAAATGAGAAAATGTGTTTTTGGCCGAAAAAGGGAAAATAATCAGTCGTGACTGGGTATTTTTGTGTCGCGGGCCGGGAACCCTTCTGAGTTCTAGGGCTCAAAAGGGCAAAAGCCCGAACTTGACTCAAAAATACAGGATCGGGTATTTTTGATTCAAGGCCGGGGTTTTTCCCGCACATGGTGCCGCATTTTGCAACCCCGACCGGGTATTTTTGCTTTATAAGCAAATTCCCGACCTGCCCCCTCTCTCCTCTCATTTTTTCAGATCCCTCTCTCTCTTCCCTCTCATTTCCTCTCCACTCCCTCTCGCGTGAGCGACGCCGGTGACCGCCCGCCGACGCCTGCCTCCGTCGCCGGCCTTTTTCGGGCGACTTTTCGGCCAATTTCCTGCGAACATTTCCGGCCCGTTTTGGGCATGGTTTCGCGTCCCTCACCCTCTCCTCGCGTCCCCTCTACGGTCCTACTTGAGTTTCCAGGTGTGTTGTTTGCTCAATTTGTTATTTATTGGAAAATCAGACCGTAGATTTTAGGACCGAGAACTGTGATTTTCTTAGCATGTTTGAATTAGAATAGGGTGAGGGATGTGGTGGTTATGATTGGCTAATGTGTTGCCCGGTTGCTTGAACGGGTCATTTGTGCTTGATTCTTGATTTGATTGCGGTTGTTTTGCTTGCAATTCAACCGTTTGTGCTTGACTGTTAGCCCTAGGTGGTCCTTAAGTGTGGGTGAATTGATGAACCCATACTGTTGGTCCTAATGAGTATTTTCTTGGCTCCACCTTTGGTTTGTTGATTTTGCAGGATAATGTCGCTCGATCACCCGTTCACGCAGGATCTGTGCCTGCACTCGGAGTACGCTGACCAGTACCGCCGGGTCATATGCAGAGTGCTCTAGCGCCATCACCATTTGGAGTGGGGGTCTTCGAGCAGCTTCACTACATAAACGAGATCTCCACCATCATTAGCCACCCGGATTGGTGGACGTTGTTGAGCATCGATGAGCCCACCTACACAGAGCTGGTGTGGGAGTTCTACACCACCTTCCGGTATAGCTGCAAAGCGGCCAGAAAGTCCCCCACCAGTGTCACCTTCAGGTTGGGTGGGCACCCACGGGCGATGAGCATCGATGGGCTGGTCTACGCACTAGGGATCCAGTACCACCGCTACTCCCACCATGAGGTAGAGATCCCACATCCAAAGGACTGGAACCAGGATGCGTTTTACCGCCGGATAGCTCGACGCGCCTACGAGATGGACTACTTCGACGCCGACCAGACATACGTCTCCACCCTCAAGCCACAGTGGCACATCCTCAACCTGCTGATCACCCGCTCGATAGTCCCCAATGCCACTGGTTCCAACAAGATCTCGAAGCGGGTGCTATACGCCATGTATTTGATGGGGGACCCGGATCATATGCTTCATTTGGGTTCTTTCGTGGCCACCACCTTCTCTCGGTGCCACGGGAAACCCAACCACCTCTTTTGTGGTCCCCTGATCACCAGAATGGCGCACCACTTTGAGATTGACCTGGAGGGACTCACGGATGCCACAGCACGGGGCGGCTTCACGCACCTCAGTCGAGAGGAGCTTCACAATGCGCTCATACTGGCCTCTGATGGAGCGTGTTCCTGGGTGGATGGGCTGTCTTTGTTGAGGATGCGGATCTTGAGGAGGACGAGGACTACACCGGCGAGGAAGAGGCCAATGATGATGATGATGGCGGGGCCATGGACACTGATGAGCCAGAGCCCCCGCTCTCCCCCTAGGGGATCTTCAGCCACGACGGAGATCCGAGCGAGGCGAGTCCTCCTCCGGTCCTTCCAATCTGTCGATGGCTTCTGGTCCGTCGATGGATTTCTTCACGGAGCAGTTCCAGCAGCTCGGGCTTCAGTTTCAGCAGCTCGGGCTCCAGAACCAACAGTTCATGGACCATCAGGTCCAGTTTTACCAGCAGTATTCGGCCCACCAGGCCGAGTACCACTCGCGGATGACGGTTCTTGATGAGCGCCTCGACCGGATGGAGGCTAGACTGGGAGTCACCAGTGCTCGCATCGAGCGAAAGCGGGATCGTAGCCGCCGGATGATGGAGTACCAGAAGCACCTGCTCCAGTCCTGCCACCCGCCACAGGAGCACCACTGGACTACTTGGTGGGACCACTCACCACCCGCGCCACCGCCGACAGATGGGGTTGACGACCTCATGGAGTAGATCGACTTCAGCGAGCTCTAGTAGGTTGTACTCGGTGCTCGTTTTGTGTTGCTTTTGTTTTGGTTCGGAGTGCAAACTGTCTTTTGTTTTGGTTTATTTTCTTTTCTTTTGGATGATGAACTATTGGGCTGACAACTAGACGTAACGTATTGTGGCTGAGTTCTTGTGTTCCCTTTAGCTGTGCCTTTGCACCGACTGGTCCCATTTCCAGTCTTCTTCACTCCCACTGGTCCAACTTCCAGTCCAACTGCAGTTTGATTATGCCGGTAACATCGTTCCCCTTATCCTTCCCTCTTCTCCATTGAGGGCAATGTCGAACTTAAGTGTGTGGGGGATGCTTCTATTGTGGCTGCCTTGATCTGTTTGTGTGCTTGGAGCCTAGTCCACTGTCCAAATTTCGATTTGAGGGATCCAATTACGTGTTTCCTTGCAATTTGCCTGCTCAGTATGCTTAGAATTGACAATCTTTGTAGTAATATGCAACCTAGGAAGGTAGTGTAGCACTATGGAGGATGTTGAAGTATAAGATTTTCCTATCTATCTCTCTACTGTGCCGGTTGATTTTGTGAATTAGTGGAGTAAGACCGTTGAATTCATGGGGTATTGGTGACTCCTTGTGAAATGTGTTATGGACTCGTGTATCGAACAGGGTGCTCATGTGCGAAATGAAAAGCAGTTGGTCCTCCATTTCAGAATAATTGAAATCTTAAACATGGGGTAAGCCCAACGTGTGTGGCACCGTTCATTGCACCAAATCGGGTTTTGGAAGAGATTTTAGTGATCCTTAGTGATCCTTAGTGGGATCCTTGGTTGTGAATGGTGTGAGTCCCTTTATCCATGAACTGGTTGTCTTACTTCCACTTCTTCTCATGATCCTGGCTTGAGTCTAGTACTCGCATTGAGAGAGATAGGGGATGTCTTAGAAGACCAGTTGACCTCGTAAGCTGCTGTATGATCTAGGAAATCCTCTACCGATGATTAGGGTTGTTTGTTGCTATAGAGGTCTGGAGATCTGCATTAGTTTGAGTTAGGTTTGTTTGGGGACAAGCAAATGGTTAAGTGTGGGAGAATTTGATAGACCAATAATTACATATGTTTATACCTCCATTCTTGAGCCGTTTGAGAGTCGATTCTCGTGTTTTAAGCCGATTTCACGCTAGGTTGTGTGTTTATGTCATATTTTAGGAGTTGGCGTTGATGTGAAGGCGAGGAAACGAGTTTCGGGTCAAAAGGAGGACGTTTGAGTAGAAGGGCGCTGGTAGAGCAAAGTACCCGACCAGGAGTGAAAATACCCGGCCGGGTAAAATGCAATGGGAGGCTGGGGAAAGATGATTTTGGACGCCAAGAAGCAGGAGGGGTCCCATACAGAGAGCAAAAATACCCGAACGGGTATTCTGGACCTTGATCGGGTATTAACCTTGTACCGCTGCGTTTCAAAATCCCCGGCCGGGCAACTGAAATACCCGACTGGGGATTATGACCGGGGATCGCGAACAGCTGGTTCTTAAGGGAAAGAAGGCCAATTTTGCAAGGGTTCCGAGTTTTAGAGAGATAAAGCTGATACCTAGAGAGAGAGTGATGAACCTGATTCTCCAAGCGTCCTAGATCGATCTTCATCACCATTGGAGATCGGTTTGAGCTTGGAGAAGTGCCGATTGATTGCCAGAAGCAGAATCCCATCCTTCGCAGTATGGTCTGAGCTAGACTTCCCTTCTCTCTCTATGGAGTACCTTTCTCATTCACTTGGGTATGAAGAACCCTAGATTGGTATGTTAGGTCTGATTGTATGAACCCAAGTACGAATTCAGTGATATGATTATATTTAATTAAGGTTTGATTTCTTGAATGGCATGAATCATGATCAAATTCCTGGTATTTCTGCTTTGACCTAGAAAGAGAATATCTACCTAGGTTGATAGAGCACCCTTGATTGAAGATAGTGAATTGACGACTTTAGTCGAGGAGTCATTTCACTATTATGTACCAGATTTAGTCCGGTAGAGGAGGTTTGGTTCGTTAGGGCCTCAATCTGTTTACTCCGGTGGAGGTTAGTCGCCCACTGGGGACTCAGATTGAGAGGGTCTGGAGATCTTTAGTTGAGACTGCAGACTGTTTAAGAACCTCCCGCAGTATAACTATCAGTGAACTTGAACTTGAACTTGGTAAATTACAACCTGGCTTAACTGCAGTCTAGGGGGAACCATATCTGGGTGACCTCTCCCAACTTGAACACAACTCTCACTGCTTTGCTTGCTAGTTTAATTGAACCTTCACTACACTTGAACCGCTAGATAACAAGACTTTCACGGAGTAGTCATCACACTTAGGACCCGGATTGACAATTAGAGCTAAACCCGCTATACTACGCATTAGTAGGTGGTTACACTTGGCCACTTTCTAGTGTGACGGTAGAGGAGACAGTAGCGGCCGTGATTTCGCCATCGCCAGCTCCAATAACACGCTGCTGCTTATTCATGTACAAGAGTATCTAATCGAGAACTCCATTGTCCTCGCCACTAGCAACAGGCGATGAAGGTGAAGCCGGCCAAGAAAATAATAACAACAACAATAAAAATTGCATGAAGAAGGCGGAGAGGAATTGGCCCTTTCGTTGCGAATTGTGAGTACGGCAGCCGTCCTTGATAATACTAATCCTCCTCCGGCGTCATCGGAGGCGGCGGTGAAACCGAGTAAGGTTCATGAGTGTGCCATCTGTGGTGCGGGATTCTCGTCAAGATATGCTTTGGGAGGACATATGAGGCGGCACAGGACGGTAGTGACTGCAATTGACGAGACATCTCTGCTCCGATCTGAGATTTCAGATTTTGTTGCCACAATTTCCTCCGCCAGAGACATCGCGGCTCCGATATGAGAGTTCAGATCTTGCTCTGTCGCCAAAATCTCCATTATCTCCCCGTCGCTCAATAGCGGCGATCTTGTCGATGGCGAAGGAGAGAGTACGATAGAGAAGTGGCGACGACGATCTTGCCGGTGGTGGATGAGAGAGTACGGCAGAGAAGCGCCAATGGGGATATCGGAGGAGAAGAGATTGAGAGACGGAGAGGGGAAGGTTGTGGATTGAAATTTTATTTTAATTTTTTAATTTTAATTTGTTCTTTTGTGTTAGTTTACCCTTTTACCCTTAATGAATTTCATTGTTAGTATAACAACATTGAGTGTTGTTATACTATCCGCTCCGTGTTTTTGCTGAATCTAGTTTACAATGTCGTCGAAATTGTGCAAGTGTACTTAATCAATTGCAACCCATCGAGAATTTTTGAACTATGAATACAACTATCAACACCTAGGATGGATTCTTCATGAAAGAAAAGCTCTGCACTAGTACAGTAGAGTGAAAAAGGGGGAGTGGAGGATGTAAATAGGGATGGCAATGGGTCGGGTTGGGGCGGATTTTGTCAAACCCAAACTCATGGGTTTATCTGCCAAAAAAATCCGGGGTAAAATCCGTTGGGTTTGAAAAACTTAAACCCAACCCAACCCGCTAGGTATCCGCGGGTTTATGGGTACCCGTGGATTTTTGTGGTAAAAATTTTACAATAATAAGTTTTTTTTCAAAATAAAAGTTTAACATCAATTTTCTCATACAAATTGTTCATACAAAAAACACCAATCTAGAGCATACAATTAAGCAAACCGCAAATGATCAATATAAATTGTTCAAAATTAACGATAAACATCTATAAACAACAAGATTAATTGAAAGTTTCTTCCTCGTCAACTAAGTTTCTTCACTCTCCACTCCATAATATCAACTTCATTCTAAACAATTAGAAAGAACAAATTATACATGTCTCCACAAACGTAAAGAATATTAGTGGTTTAAGGAAGTTATATTGTTTAGAATATTAAATATACCGGGAAAGTAATTATATGTGTGTGAGCGGGTACCCATGGGGAGGGTTTACCTAAACCAAAACCTAACCCAATCCGGTGAATAGTGTAGTGGGTTTAAACCCGAATCCGGCTCAAAACCCGTCAACACGGATTGAGTCGGGTGGATACCCGTGGGTTCGGGTTTTGTTGCCATTCTGTTAGTGTTTCTCAATATGCACAAGTAGGCGCCAAAATTTAGTGTGACCATATCCTGCTCTCACTCTGCGTGGGTTTTCTTTCTCCAGTTATGCTGGAAATTGGCTGGTAGTAAAAGAAAGGCAAGTGGTAGGGAAGAGTTTGGAAGTGTTGGGTTTTCCTTTTCCTTTGAGATTTCCAAGTTCATGTAGCATATGATTTGGACTTACTACGGTAATGGTAGCACAGCCGTTTTTTTTTTTTTTTACAATTGGCAACCTCCCCAACTCTCAATTACTGGTGTTTGTATGAATAAAGCTAACTAGGAAGTTTGTACCACATCGGTTGTTTGTGTATTTCGAAAGTTGTGGATATAATTGTAACAAACGTAAAAGTTGTAGTTATGTAAGTGTAGTTATTCTAAAAAATATATATTTCTATAATTTTCTAATTATTTTTTAGAACATGTTTTTGTAATAACTTCAAATAAAAACATATGTACTCGTGTTAGAAAAAAAAACAAATCAAATTTCTATCAGGAAAATATCTATCATGGATATATTTACATCCTACCACGAAATCAACCCAACTTCCATTTGCCGTTTCACATAACAAAAAATTGATGGAACTTAAATTTGGAGGTTAACTAATTACGACAACTTACCAGGATATATAGTGTTGTTTTGGTGGAAGACAAAGGTGCATCGCTATACATGCTTGTTTTGGAGCCAATGATGTTGAGTTTTGGGTGGCCAATCAATTGGAATTTCCTGATTTGATTTGCCTTTCTGCTAGCTTTTGCGTTAGGTAAGTGAAGATTTTGGCGAGGACGACATGTGATCATGGTTAATTATCTTGTGTCTAGTGTAGTCAAATATGCGTTTTTACGTAGAAGCGGAAACATGAGTAAAAGCGTAAAACATAAAAGCGTAGCGTAAAAACGTAAGTTTTTGTGTATAATTTTTTTTAGACTTAGGCTAACTATCTGTCTCACTTAACAATGTCACTACTTATGCGGATAAAGTGATAATCTAGTTTAACAAACTTTTTATATATACAGCGGAATTCAAATTCTAATACATAAACAACAAGTTCACAATCATAAAATACAAGTCTAAGTTTCACAACAACGAGTTGGGACGGGAGAACTTGTGTCGACTCGTGAATGGTGAATAACGAGTTTCACAATCATACTTTTAACAAACTTTGTTAGATGAGATAAGTTTTAGTTGAAGGATAATCAAGAGCATTAGCTAGCCAGAGTAGGTGCGATGAGAGGGATCGAGGAGAAGCTCTATGGAAGGAGATGTCATATATAGCCTAAATTCCCCTTCAAACAACACATAATGTGCTTGATCAAGCTCTACTGAGATCTCCATAAAGATAGATGTTGGGGGTTTTATGGTGGCATGAATGGAAATAAAGGAAAATGAGGTAAAGTAGTTCAAGGAAGCTAAAAGTAGCTCACTAATATGACAAATGCCAAAATTGGTTTAGCTAAATGAGATTATTTATCCAATTTTTACAGAAATACCATATAATTACCACATCAATCATAAATATTTCACTTCAGTAAAAAAAATAAACAATAAATATTTCACTTTATAAATATCACATTCACAACTAATCCATCCAAACGACGCCTTTATATACCGTTGATGATGGGGTTCAAGACTTCATGCAGGAAAAAATGGGAAGATTATATTTTGGGTTACACTCTCATAATAAACTTCACGCAATCAATCAGAATTTGTACACACTGTTACATGTTTTATAAATAAAAACTAAAAAGGACAACCAGATTGATGATCTCTTCTTCTCCCCTAGGACCTGGAGCGCGTTAAAAAGGATCACGCCATGCATCCCTCAACATTAAGTTCCAAAACAAAATTCGAAACCAACTACAATATTAAAACTAGCTAGTAGTACTATAATGGGCATATAAAAAAAAAAAAAAATTCTGCTTCATGTACGACCCAAACTTTCACGGGGAAATGTATAAATGAAAAGCCCCGCTTTTCAGCGCAAGCAAACCAGAAGCAAGCAAGCTGTAAAACTTAACCACCACCACTTTGCATTAAATAAAAAGCCTGTGAAGCTAATGAATATCATTAATTAATACTGTAATTTATTATATGCCGTGCCGTCACAGCTACTCATGTCCCCTTCCAAACCCACAGAGATCCAGTAATCACCATTCTCACGAGATCCCAAAACAAAAACAAAAAACCCTACCCAAAATTTTGTATTCATGAAAATTTATCATAATCTTTACAAAATTATATATAAAATCTCCTCTCTAGCTATTACATATCTACTAATCATGAAAACTGGACGCTAGGTAAGTGATTAATAAAAAAAAAATTAAGGTAACAAAACGAAACAAAGGATTTGGAGCCGGGGAGGGAGGAAGAGTTACTACTATACTAGGAAACATGTATCATTCAAGGTAATCATGAAAGCTAGCTAACTCTCTCATATTAATTGTCCCTCAAGATATCTTGATTTCACCAAACCTGATCATGATTAACATTTGGTGAAGATGATGATGATGATGCATTCATAATTAATAGTAACTTTGGCACCAGACAAAAGAGAACAACGGGAGAGAGAGAGATAACATCATAACAATGATGACGATTAACCATTGATCATGATCATCATTAATGGTGCAATGGGTTTGGACCCGTAGGGACTAGCCGCTTGTCGACGCCATATCTAGGATCGATCTCCGGCGGCGGACTCGACGTTACACGGTGATGGTGGTGATGATGAGTCGTCGTCGTTGTTGGCTTTCGGAATTGAGAGAAGTCGAAGTTGCTGGCCAGAACTTTCCTGTGGTTCACCACTACCGCCGGCCGGGACGCATGGAATGTGGATGGGTTGGAGGTGATGACCGTATGTCTCTTGAAGCCGTAGAATTCATGAAAGAGAAGGGAGAGCCAGAGGAGGAGGAGCAACAAGGCTAGTGATGGTAGTTTCAATATTGCGGCGGCCATGGAGGAACAACTTGAGGCCGAGAAGGGTTGTTAAGGGAATTGGAGGAAGCATGGAGAGCAAGAGAATGGGGGAGACGATGGAGAGAAGTATAGTATAGAGAGAAGGGAAGGGAAGTGAAGGCAAGAAAAATGAAGTGGGGAAGAGTAGTTTTTGGGGGGAAAACGAGTTTCGATGGAGTCTATTTAGTGAGATAGCTAGATAGAGAGCTTGAATCTAGCTAATGTGTTGTGTAGCCTAACTTAAAACTTAAGGAGAGGGAGGGTTACGTTCCCTCTTTTGGGGGCTTAGCTTGCTGCTGTTCAATGTTGATCATCATGTGAAGATTCGGTAATTACGGGCGCAATCTCCATTGATTATGAACTTTTCGAGGTTTTGTGAAGGAGGGAATTTTAGAAGTCGTGGTGGTATATTGCTATGGGTACAGCTAAAGTCCTTTTCCCAATAGAAGGTTTGCTTAGAAATCAAGGAATGGTGGGAGAAAAAGGGATCATTATGAAGGTTTTTGTCAAACTTGGAATTATTTCATGCTTGATTGATTGTGTTTATGCTGTACTTAATTATTGTTAGGGTATCTAGCTACATGATATTTGTCTTGGAAATAAGTAGAATGCCATCCACAGTACTAGGTAAGAGAGGGTTTATAATACGTACGTACATGGCCTCAAAAGGAAAGATAAGAGTTCCATTCCTATCAATTCGTATATATATGGTGGGTACTTTGGCGCACTCACTTTTTGGGATGCACTCAATCCACCCAACTCTAAAAGTGTTCATAGTACATCAAATTTTGAACTTTAATTAGTACTCTCAATCTAATATGATGATATGACATAGAATCATAACAAATCAATCTATTACCCTAACCCCTTAACCTTCAATTTTGAATCCCAACCCAAAATCTTAAATTGTAAACCTACATCCTAACCCTAAATCCCCAAATCCTAAATCCTTCAAATTAAAGTAAATTTTGAATGATTTTTTTTCTTTCAAATTCATGTGCTTCTTATTCATAATATCATAAGCAACAATTGATACCGTTTTGACATGAATCGCATGCTCAAAATGATAACTATGAGTGCACTGAGTGCATCCAAAAAAGTGGGTGCACTCAATACGCCACTATATATATGGTGGTTTCTATCGTACCTTGGGTATAATGTAGGGTACGACATACCCTGAGTAAGAAAATACTATCTAAACCTCAAATTAACAGAATTTTTGGGCATGCTACTATACCCTAAACGTTGATGAGTGAACTCTAGGTCTTAGTTTTCTAAATCAAAGAGCATAATCCCTAAGATTGTGCTTGTAATTTGTTGTATATATTTCGACAAATCATAGCCGTTGATTTTTGTTTCTAATTAAATTGATCTTAGTGTATAAGATTTATAGAACTAAGACCTAGATTTTAATCCTTAAGGGTTTGGGAATAATATCATATGCCAAACTATGCTTAATTCGAGGTCTATATATAATTTTCTTACTCAATGTATGTCGTACCCTTGATTTTACCCAAGGTACGATAGAACCACCTATATATATATATATATGTGGAGTATAAATTGCGCGAGTCAAAAATTTCCAAAATGATACTCTATTTATGGTGTACAGGTACTTTTTTTTTTAAAATTGCATCAATTAGAAACACGATACTCCGATATGCTATATATATGTGATTGATGTCAAATATAACTTATTGATTCAGCAATATATGATCGTCTTGTTTATCATCTTTTGTTTCAATTCTGAATAATTTTTTTTTTCTCTCTATATACTCATCGATTAAATTTTGCAATTTCTTTCATTATGTGGATGTGAAGAATAACTGAATCAACAGAAGGAGATCTACAATCCAATGACATATGTATATAGATTTTACAAAGACTGTCGTTACCATCTTGACTAATGTGTCCTGTTATATACATTCCTCAGATGAACATTGAGATAATTTAAGAACACTTAATATAACAAATGTAAACTTGTAGTATTTGAGTGTAGTGGATTTCAATTCAAACAAGCTAGTCGTGGTCAAATAATAATTAATAGGAAATGGGGAGGATGGTGGAATAATGTGCAATCCACATTTTCTGTGAGCAAAAGCAAAGGTATAATTCGTTGGGGCGGTGGCGTATTGATGGAAGATCATGAGAGTATATAATGTTGGAGAAAGCAATATGCATGGCCAGTAAATTAAAGTGTATGAAAGAAAGAAAGAAAGAAAGCACGGTTAATAATGCTTTGCACGGGTGCTTCATTATTATACAAACCCAGCAACGCAACTGCTTGGGAATACAAATGGCCTCTTCTAACATTTCGCACCGCCTACTTTATTAATTAATTAATTATGAAAATTTTGATTAACTATGATCACCATGTTTGTGTTGAATTTATAATGGCTTCACATTGGGTTATGCATTCAACTACCCATTCTGCGGCAACAAAGACTCTTCAATCTTCAATAACATTAAAAAAAAATATATATACTCGGTCAAACAATGATCCTAAATGACTGTTGGATCATTGCATTTCACGAGACAATTATTTATAAAATTGTTAGGCGGTACATTCAAGCATTGAAGATAGAAAATGCACGATAAAATCATCATGAATTATATTACTGCGTCTTAATTTTTCTGGGTTACCGGATTTCCTGTAGGAGAATTGAGCTATTCGTTTATTCACCACGTGATGGGACACCGGATTATGAGAAGTTTATGGTGGTGTTAACTGTTAAGTTAACCACTGATTAAGTGATTAGGATTTAGGAGCAGGTTTAAGTGATGAACCCAGCCGGTGGTCCAAAAAGAAGCCCAATTAGGATTACCTCACGGGCCAACTGGTCAAGTTCAGTCCAGATAATTGGTTCCGGAATATATTGGACAAATCGTATCACAAGCACCGACCAAGTCCAAACCCAATACCGCTACAAACGACGCCGCATTGTTCGGTATACATAGACGGGGTAAATCCGAACGACAAACTTCCCGTGGAATTGAGTAATCGACGATCAAGCGGAAGGCGGTACGAAACGGGGGACTTCCCACTGCCGAGAACGCTAATCTGATATCGAAAGCAAGAATCGGAAATGGTACGCTGATCTCCACACCTTCGATCTGAAGTTTTCAATTCGATGTACTGATTGCATCTTCTAATTTGCAAGTATCTGTTTATGGCGTTAAAAGTTAGCGCAGTCGTAGTTGGAGGGATATTTCGTGTTAGGGTTTTTCCTTTTGCTTCCAGTCTTTATTGGATACTTGTACCCTGTTTGATTGGAATTCTTGCCTTTGGCCTAAGATAAGTCGACGGCTCTAATTGGAATTGGTGTTTGATTTATTGTGGCAAATTGTAGTTATATTGGAAAAAGGAGATCGAATTGAAAGCCTTATACTTTACTGGTCTTCGCTGCAGATTTCCTTCTAGCTTTGTTTTGTATTGGCTACGGGGTATTTTGGTGGACCTTAGGCAGTATTGGTTTCTGTTCTGGTTTGAGAGCGGTTGCTTGTTTGCTATGTGATATAGATCATACTAGCGTGGCTGGCTCGTGATATTGTGATGACTAATATTTGAGAATATGCACATACGTGTTCATTGGAAGTTAGTTTTCTACTACCCAAATCTTTTTTGAGTGTTTGAAGCAGTAGATTGTCAGGGTGATACGGTACTCAGTTCTATAATACACGGATGAAAAGCTTAGGAAGGGGGTTTTCGGCTTATGAATTGAGAATTTTAGCTTCCTACCCATAGTAAGCTAGCACTTGCTTTGTTATGGTTTTTCCTTTTGCAATTGTATGCTGATTCTAACTATTCTGTTCTTTTTTATTGCAGTCTACCCTTGCAGCAGCTAGAGCAGACAACTTTTACTACCCACCAGAATGGTCGCCAAAAAAGGTGCATATACGAATAAATGCTTGAGTGTCTGTATTTGTGGATTTGTTTACATTTCTTCTCCTTTTGTGGGGAAGTCTCATATTGCCATTTCTATTCAGGGTTCATTGAACAAATTCAACGGCCAACATGCTTTGAGGGAGAGAGCAAGAAAAATAGACCAGGGCATTCTGATAATAAGGTTAGTGACGAATTGCATTTTTTTGCGACGTAAAGATGCCTTTTACTTTGTCCGCTGAGCGTAACAAGGATCCCATGACTAGTATTGAGCAAACATAGATTGGAAGATCTGAGTGGGATTACACCATATATGATGATACCTTTTGGTAATGCTTGGACTGTAGCTACTCGGTTAATGTAAACCATTCTACTGAGATCCTGTCCATCTATGCTAGGAAATATGGCCTTGAATTCTGCTAATCCTAGCAGAAAGATTGATTGACCATTTAACCATATAGTGCTTCTATCCTTTTCAAATGCCAATTGGCACTTAAATTAATATCCATCTTTGCTTTCAGGTTCGAGATGCCCTTCAATATATGGTGTGGTGGTTGCAATTCTATGATTGCTAAGGGTGTTCGGTTTAATGCGGAGAAGAAACAAGTCGGGAACTACTATTCTACCAAGGTAACCTGCCTACCTTATTTTGGAGTCTCCTAATAGGTACATACAAATCCACAATTTTAGAAGAGGTTGTCCCATCTCCCAGCTGTATGATTCTGTCATTTATTGAGGTCGAACATGATAACTGCATATGACTGTAGGAGTCAGGCAGAACTGTTCTCTTTCAAGTTTCCCTGTCATTGCACTTAACCTTATCTATAAATTTTGATTTGCCCAAATTAGGTTGGAAGTTTTCTGACTAGTAGTCATTATGCTCTGTTAAATGATTCATCTTTTTCTTGCTGACTGTTGTTCCTAATCACAATTTTGTTTCTCTGGCCTACAGATATGGAGCTTTTCCATGAAAGCTGCATGTTGCAAACAAGAAATAGTTATTCAAACAGATCCGAAAAATTGTGAATATGTGATTATTAGTGGGGCTCAGAAAAAGGTTGAGGATTTTGACAATGAAGATGCAGAGACCCTTCTACTCCCAGCTGATGAAGGTAGGTTCTCTACTCCAGTCTCTGTATTGTATGTCACTACTGTAGAGTCTAGACCACCATTTCCAGGCTAAATGTAGAAACATTTGCCATCTGCATTCCCTTTTTGTTAATGTGCACTCATTTTATTGATATATTCTATTTTTTTGCTTTCAAATTGGTCTTAACGGGGTTGTTCCTACTTGTGCAGAAAAGGGAAAACTTTCAGATCCATTTTATCGACTGGAACACCAAGAAGAGGACTTGAGGAAGAAGAAAGAGGCAGAGCCAGTTCTAGTGAGACTACAGAGGGTATCTGATAATAGGCACTCAGACGATTATGCCCTCAACAAGGCCCTCCGTGCC